TAAAAAAGAAGAAAAGAAAATAAAAATAAAAGAAGAGGCAGAGATCTGCCTAAAACCAAAAACCTAGATGGATCAAAACCACTAGAAACTAAGCTAAGACAGAGGTGTAATAGTAACAAGCACACAAAACCGTTCAAGGACTCTGATCCGAAATCATGACTCTGAGTTTCACGCTAAGGCAATCTTCAGACGATAAATATTAGAAGTCAAAATTTCAGATCGGAATCATTGCGCGCTTTTTTAATGCTTGTTGTCCTCAAATTACCTTATATATATATATATATATATATATATATATATATATATATATATATATATATATATATATATATATATGTGTGTGTGTGTGTGTGTGTCTGTGTGTGTGTGTGTGTGTGTGTGTGTGTGTGTGTGTGTGTGTATGTATGTATTAGTGGCGGGGCTATGTGTGGGCGCGCACGTTTGTATGCATGTGTGTATGTGTTTGTGATCTTTGAGTGGCAAAGAAAGTTTTTTTACACCAAAATACCTGTCAAAAATGCCTACATCCTCAGAAACCACCTCAGAAAATCTAAATTTGTATTCTCCCCCCCTCTCTGGTCTCTCTCCATATATATATATATATATATACACACACACACACACATATATATATATATATATATATATATATATATATATATATATATATATATATATATATATATATATAGAGAGAGAGAGAGAGAGAGAGAGAATGCAATGCAGTGGTAATGTTGGCCAATTAAAAACGATGAAAACTGAGTTAGACAATTTGGGACCTCTATATACTTCGGTCATTGTAAATTTAAATGCTGAACACCCCTGCATGTTTAACGTTTTGATGTAAACTCTAACCGGCGTTTGTTGCACACACACACACACACACACATATATATATATATATATATATATATATATATATATATATATATATATATATATATATATTAGTTCCTAATCTGCTGACCGAGCCGTTTCATAAATAGTATCACATGTCACTTAATTTGATATTTAAACTTTACATCTTTGAGTATTTGCCAGTTTTTGAACGTCGACGCGAATAGGCTCCTGGGGGCTGTAAATTCAAATGCTTGCAAGTACTTAATAATATAGATATTTATCATATTACTGTACTGACTAATTTATTCTGGTCCTGTCTTGCTTACTGGTCCTGGTTTTTCTCAGAGACAATTCAAACCAAAAATTACATTTGTTCGCGCAGAAGTCATTTCAACTCTTTCGGTTGATATCAAAACATTTCGCTTATAAATATTTGTATGTTTTCGTCTCGATCAATAAATATTGTCGATTTTGTTTCTGTTTCGTTTTTCTACCTTTCTTCGAAACATTGTAAATTGTTCTTACTCAGTTAAAACAATTGTCTTTTTTCGCAATCACACTCACGAGTCCCGTAGCCCAATCGGCTGATAGAGTCAACTACATATACTCCAGATGTAACAGAAGTGGATACGTCTAAGATAAGTTTGTCTGACGGAATTCATCCAGTCTTCTGAGTTTTAAATTTTTTTACTTTTATTTTTTTTAAAGCCAACCAGTACAGCCACTAACACGCAATGGGTTACAGGGTGTGGAGGAATTAGGAACAGAAATACAGAAATATTAGTAATGAGTAGAAAGAGAAACGAGCAATCAGAAGGACAGTAGATATCAATTGACATTGCTTTAAATTTTTGCTGATTAAAGTTGGCTGGAAAGTATCCAGCCGGAAGGGAGTTCCACAAACGAGAAGTGCGAGAAAAGAAACTCTCAGCAAAGAACTTACGGCTACATCTAACCAGCTCAACGACGCCAGTCTAGTATTGCGCTTAAATTCCTACAGTCTAAGTACCATAGCGAAGAGCTCGTCTGAACAATTACCATAAAAGTATTTATTAAAAAAAAAAAAATGCACAGAGAGGCAACCTTACGGCGGTGGGTAAATAACGGAAGCTGAGCCACCAGATCAGGACCAATAATATAGCAGATTCTTCTTTGGATCTAATCTAGGAGCTCCAGGTAAACAGCAGAGGCACCGGACCATATATGGCAGCAATATTCTAAGCATGGACGAATGATAGATTTATAGATATACAAGATAGATTCCGGAGAGAAAAATTGTCTTTCCCGGCATAGTGAACCGACTTTCTTAGCAGCTATGATGCAGATGATACAGTGCTGATGGCAGAGACGGAAAGGAAACGACAAAAACTCCAAAAGAAGATAAACAAAAGAAAGCGAGAAGAAAGGACTAAACATAAACTACAAAAAGACAGAATGCATGGTTATCAGCAAAAGGATGATCCCAAAATGCAGGTTGTGAATATTAAAATCAAACAGGTACAGAAATTTAAATACCTGGGAAGTGTTCTAACAGATAGAAAGTGCGACACTGAGATCCGAAGACGTATTGGGATGGCTAAAGATGTCTTCCAAAAGCTAAGCAGAATATTAAAAAACAAAAAAAAAATGTCGTTAGAAACAGAGCACTGGACTGTTACGTGATATCTGTCCCCCCTTTATGACAGCAAGTGCTGGACAATCTTCTCAAAGATGAAAAGATTTGTAGCGTCAGAAATATGGTTATACAGAAAGATGCTGAGGATACCATCGGCCGAATATGTGAGCAACTATGAGGTTTTGGGGGAGAATGGAAACAAAAGGAAAATTTATACTTAACATCAGGAAGAGGCAATTGAAATTTCGGGGGGAAGGTAATGAGGAAGTAGGTTTGGAAAATCTGATACCCACAAGACATATTGAAGAGGGGCAGAGGAATACAGTTTGCAACATACTTGATGAACTTGATTAAATACAAGTACTTAAATACTGTGAATATGTTTATGTGACAATTAAATACTGTGAATATGTTTATGTGACAATTAAATACTGTGAATATGTTTATGTGACAATCTTGAAAAATGACTGAGACGGATGGAAGTACTTGAACCAAAAAACAAGAAAGAAAACAACAACTTCGGACAGTCTACGATCCCAGTATACAACATGCTATTCGAAATTTGGGAAAACACAAATCACCTTGCCTGTTGAATTTGTTCAAACTTGCTTGAATGAATACTTACTGCCTATAGATAGATAATGAGCAGTCGTCAATCTTTTAATTGCTGTTATGAATAAGATATATTATGAACATTAATAATTGTTTTCATTTTTTTTTTAAATTTTAGAATAATTTATAAAGTTTTAAATCTTTTAAAATTCTGTATTAATTTTTACCGGTTAGATGATATTGTTATTAAGCAAAAACTATATTTACTAATCATGAATGGAAAAGCTTACAATGACCCCCAGTATTTTAAAAAGAATTTTGAATTTTTGTGTATGCATAAACGTGCCGAAATTTGTAAATACGGGCATTTCCAGAAAAGAAGTGTGATAATTATAGTAAATTTAAAGCCAAAGTACTTAACATTCAATAAAACATTAGATTACTTAGAATATTTTCCTAAATTTTTAAGATTAATTTGTAATTAAAATTTATATAAAAAAGTCGCTCACGTTATATTCTTCAAGTAACTTTTACAGATATATCCCTTGTAGAAAAAAGATCCAAGAATAAGTCTCGAGAGAGAGTTATCAACACCTCATAAAAACACTCACCTCCGTATAAAAAATGCTTTTCTGCGATATTTTAAACTAAAAGTAATATTTGTTTCAAATAAGATTAATTAAACTTTAAATCAGGTAATTTTCCTAAAATAAAGTTTCAGAAAAATACATTTTAATTTTGAAAGACATTTTAATAAAGAGAATTACGTTGTGCTGGGAGATTTGTCAATATGGATAAAATCAGGCATTTTTAGCGATTTCAAAGAAAATAATTCCAATCTTTTTGAAATACAGCAAAGTATTTTGCTTAGTGAAATGATTAAACTTAATCTATTCACTGGAAATTAAAACTATTAGGTTGATGCAAAAATAATGACGTGATAATGTCGTATTTTTTAACGTCAAAGAACGACATTATTACGTCATTATTTTTGCACCAACCTAATAGAAGGAAAGCTTAAATAATTTTTTTTCATTTTTAAAAATCCATTTTAAACCTTAGGTATCGCTTTTCTTTGGCGGTATCTATATATATGTTAGAATCAGAAAGAAACATTTTAAATTTCTAGGACTCCTAATGAGGAGACAGGACTTGGAAAATTTAACACTCACAGGACATGTCGGAGACAAGAGGGACAGAGAAAAATAGCAAATAACCTACGTGACAAGCCTGTGTAAATGGTTGGCAGAAAAGGGATTAGGAGTGATTTCAAAACGACAAATACTGCCAATAGCTACGGAGGACAGGAAATAGTGGAGAACCATGATCGCCCACGAAAGGAGACGACACATGGGATAATAAGAATCGCTATAATAAACGCCTTACTGGATTATCTTATTAAAGGGTATGTCTTAGCTTGACACAAGAGTACAGTTATGGGACATAAAAAATAACACAAACTGATTAACAGAAAATTCGTCAGCAAAAGTGACTTTCTAACCACTGCTCCACGGCAAGGCCGAATAATGCGTGTGAATGTATCTATGTTAATGAATGTAATATATATATATATATATATATATATATATATATATATATATATATATATATATATATATGAATGTATATATCGTCAGGGCTGTATATGTATGTAAACATTCCAATACATTTCCCAGATGAGGAGAACACCTGCGCCAGCAGTGACACCCTTTAAACAAAAACTATATATACACACACACACACATATATATATATATATATATATATATATATATATATATATATATAATGTGTGTGTGTGTGTGTGTGTGTGGGTGTGCGTGTGGTATTCAGGAGTGAGTTCCAAGTTGACAGGGTCGAGATGTAAGATGGCGGTGAAGCAGCGTCCCATTTCGATTCTGCGTGAGAGTCAAAGGAGAGGGTAGTGAAAAGTGTGTGTGTGGGGGGGTAAAACGTATCGACTTGGTCGGTAGGGGTGTGGCGAAGGGTGAAT